CAGACTCGACATTGGACTTCAGACATTTTGAAGAGGGATTATTTGGGACTTGTAACGAGACTTGGTGTTGACGACTTTCCCATCTCCCCCTTCCTCTTCTTCGTCTGTGTATGTCTGGACCTGGAGCCTCCTTCCTGTGTATAGCGCCAGGCCCCATCACACCTTGTGATGAGCATGATGTATGTTTGGTCTGCGTCGAAACATTGAGTGGGCCAGTCCTTAGTATTCTAGCATTGTGTTTCGCTATCTTGTACTACGTGAAAGAGGTCAGTCCCGGTCAGGTCAGGACTTGTATCTAAATCTTCCACTGCGCTATAAAACACCATTTTGTATGTATCAGGATGTACACTGCTTGTTGAGATTCTACTTGCACTGCATTGTCCATTCAGTCCTTTCCATCACATTGCCGATCCTTGGTTTATATGTACATCGCCCAACTGGGCATGTAACATTAACACTCCACGCTTCTCACCATTATGGCAGAAGAGGGAACCTGAGTCAGTGACATTGCTTTACGCCTGCTCTGCCCCTTCTCCTTTGTCATTGCTACTTCCCTCAGCACAATTGAAAGGACGTCTGTGTAGCTCCTCTCAACCCACCCCAGCAAGCTGATCTTTGTGCTGTGATCTAGTACTGCCACTAGGGGTCATTGTTGAGTGGTGCTGGCTTTGGTGGTAGAGCCAACCATCTCATAGGCCTTTAGATGAAACGTTTGTGCGATTGAATCTTTGCAATGTGCTTGATGTCCTTTGCAACGCTGGGAATACGGTAAAGTTACCTTGCTGTTCGCCTCTGTTCCATGCTTGCTGCTGAAAATAACGACTTTCCGTAAGTGACTATCCTTTCACATTCCATGGAAGGCTGATCTGTGAAGATGTCTCCTAGAACCGTAGTTGCCCATTTGGTTCGATCTATTGTCATTGTTACCCTATCCAAACATGAGCTTGAAACGGTTTCACCCAGTTGACCCGACATTTGCGGACACTGAGATTCGATCCCGAGACCTGCCCCTGAACCCTGTACATTGACCCTGTGTGCTGAGTGAGATTTGAACCCGTGACCTGTCCCTAAACCCTTTGCTTAGTTAGCAGGTCTGTCGGTTAGCTGTTAGGCTTTGATCCACAGATCTCCGTTTTAGCAGGTTAGTGTGTTACTGTGTTACCACTAGGTCTAGCTAGGGCCTATCTAGAAGTCTCTACCAGTCTGTACGTAGTGGCCTAAGAGTCTGTCCATAGGTAGAGTCTAGAAGGTCGTAGGTCTGTCTGTACCTGTCTAGTCAGCAAGTACCAGGCAAGTGGGAGTTCCATGCGGTAGCTCCCACACGTTTTGGCCCAGTAGGCCCCGTGTCTGGAGGCTTCCGGCCTTACGCGGTTTGGACAGCCCAGGCCCTCACGCGGTTTGGGGCCCAGGCCCACACGGTTTGGGCCCCAGGCGCACGCGGTTTGGGGCAGGGCCAGGCCACCTGCGGAGTACTATATATAAAGAGGCAGCGGCCAGTCATTCATTCATTCGCCTGTGAGGCATGCGGAAGCGCTGCCTTGGTGACTTGTGCGTGGAGTTCTGCAGGTGCCCGGAGGTTAAGTGGGCAGTGAGGAAGACGATGGTGGCCATAGCTAGGAGTGAGTAGGCGGCGCCGGCCATGGCTAGGAGTGAGGAAGACGACGGCGGCCATAGCCGCCAAGCTGCTGACGTCAACAGAGTGTACAGTGTTGTGTGTGTGTACAGTGAGTGGACATTCAGGGTGGATCCTCGTTCGTGCGTGCATGAGGGACAGTGAGCCTGGTGGTGGAGACGGTGTTTGGTGGCCCTAGCCGCAAATTGTACAGTTGACTTAACAGAGTTTAAGTGCAAGTTCATTGTTGATTCGGAGTTGAAAGACTCAGTTCGCGTGTATGCATGCTACAAGCAAGTCTGGAGTGCAGTCTGATTTCAAGCTTTTGCAGGCTAGAAACTTGCCATACTTCTCCCTCTTTCCTCTTCATGTCTGTGTGTAGAACCACTTAAGGCTTGGTGACCTGAGTGTGTTCTGGCCCTCAGCTTGAATAGTGGGGTTTTGCCTTTACATCTGCTACCTTGTCCTTGCCCAGGAAACCTGCAAAGAAGGCTTGCCTGATTCTAGTGCTTTGACCTGGCATGAGTTACTTTCCAAGGACTGTGAGCTCCGTTTCCGCCTGTTGCAGTACCAGTGCCCATGCCTCCTGAGATGCCATTAGCCATTCGTCAATTGTTTCCTGAATTCTCTTCTTCCAAACTAACCATCTCCAGTATTTCCATCAGGAAATTCTTCTTTGTTTTTATTTTGCCTTTTTTCAGGGTCGCTGTCTCTCGGTCCTGATCATATCTGGGTATCTGCCAGGTGGCTGCATCTGTCATATGCATGGTTTTAGTTACTTTCTGAACTGGAGCCGTTTCCGAGAAGTTGTACCCATTAGGAGTAGATTGTGAGTTGTGACAGTCAATTGCACATAGTGTGAACAATTGTTTGAAATTCCGCGCGAATGAGTAGATTGAGTACTTCGTCCTCGATGTGGGGTTGCTACACAGGTGAATCCTTCTTAAGTGTCAGCCTACCAAGTATTGTTTGTGCTGTGATTGTTGTGCGAAACATGCAGTATGGTATGTCTTGCTCCATGACCTCTTTCTGTCAGGGTTCCTGGCAAGGTATAGTCGGGATTCAGGAAAGTGCTTTTCTTAGTAGTCCTAAGATAATCTCTGTTTTCCAAGCCTGAAAAGGTCTGGTTCAACTTGATCTGGAAACCCGCTCTGTCCATTATATGAAACAGAGAGATGTCGAAGGCGGTTGAGGAGACGGTCGTGATCAAGGAAGCAGATTGGGTAATCGCCCCAGGGACATATGAGATTCAGGTGGAAGAGAGTATAAGAAGATTTCATCACAACACCTGCGAAGGAAGATGAACTTTAGAAAGACTCTGGGACAACCTGCTAGGTGACTGCCAGAGCTGCTGCCACTGCCATTGCTTTTTCCATGGCTACTGGCACTGATCCCACCTCTATTACCACTGCTACTCGCTAGTACTTCCACTTGGACTCGGATTGTTAACTTGACCACTACCACAGCTAGGGACATGACTGCTGACAATACTGGCACAACTAGTGCCTATACAAATACTGTGACCACTACTGCTATGATGACTAGTATAACTACTACCTTGGCGGGGAGAGGGGGGTGCATAGAACATTGAGCGCAGCTCAGACTGGCTCTGTCTTCCTGGGTACCACCGAGGCGGGCCCAGCCAAGTGACATTCGGGCAGGGTGCCGGGCAGTCCCAGCTCAAAATATTTCAAAACTAAGGGGAAAAAAAAGAAATCTGGAAGAAAACATATGTTGTGTAAAGTTGCAGTACACGTAGCTTTGGCTGAGGGCTTTCTCAAAATTCCATACTAGTTTTTTCCAAGATAAAAATAAGAGTTAAGATAAGCCCCTCTGAACCCTATTTATATGCCTCAAACCCTCCTGAGTGACCCATCACCCAATTGGCAGCCAAGGCTGGATTCCGACTGCGCAGGCCAAGTGCAGTCCTGGCCTAATTTCAGATTGAAAGAAAAACAAAATCCTTTGCCTATTCTTGACCTGCCTGGTTATACTGGGCGAGCGCCCCCCTGCCTGCCGTTCCGGGCATGAGCAGCCGGGGGGCTGCCCAGCACTGGTGTACAGTAAATTATTCAAAGGCCCAAGTGAGAAATGAAAGTGCAGAATAAGGACCTGTTTTTGTTATAAAAAAAAAGAAAAAAGAAAAAGAAAAAAAGAAATGAAAGTCCAGGGTGAAAAAGTCCAGCGAATCGTTCTGTTTGGTGCAAGCGAAATGGCAACAGGGCATCTAGTGACGAAATCACTTCTGACTCTGCACTCCTAGGTACTTCTGATAAAATGCCAACTATGATCCAAAACAGTTGTGGTTTACGACGCAACACTTAAATAGAGAGATCCTCCCTCGAATTAGCAGTTCCGTTTGTTCCCATTACTTGTTTTATCTGACCCTCGAGAGCTCTTTTTGCAACCTTCATTGCGGCTCATACAGAAAACTAGACTCCTTAGCGATTATCCTCTTGGTTGTGCTGTCCCGTGTGCCAAGTGCGGTAGACCATCAATGGGAAATCTAGAGTGTTCTAGACTGTTAAAACATACGTAATCGATATACAGCCTCCTGATGAGTTGGTGAAACCCCAACAAAACAGTTTGTCACAGCCCCTCGTTTGTTGTCCTCTTCTCCCTCTTTGCCGATGGTTCACTGGGCAGTTCTCTATGACGATCTATATTCGCAGAAGTCAATGGCCTTGCAACATATCATTTGATACGCAGAAGTAGAGAGGCTTGTCACTGAGAACTAGAGAAGGTTGTTGCCATTGCTTTGTATTTTTTCATCAGTTCTGTTGAACTGATCTCGAAATGTCTCTGTGTAAATTTGTGCGTCTTTCTGTTTTCGGGAATGCAGACGCTGCTACCAGCTTTGCAGGTTCTTGATTTGAGCAGGAACCGCTTTGCACAGGTTTCTAATCTGAACAACTGCTGTCGGTAAATTCAATCTCAATGGCCCTTTCTAAAGCTGCTTCGTTGGCTTCTTTGCCCGTCTTGTCACTCCATTTTTCCCTCCCAGCTGCTGTGGGTCTCTTGCTCTTCTTCTCAGGTTTTCCACCGTTTCGTGTGTGCCATTGGCGTTTGTCTAGCGTGTTTCAAATAATAGTTTTCTTCTGGTGCATTCTTGTGAATTGCTGCTGCGCTGTGTCACATTTCCTAGTAAAGTAGTGACCAAAGTGCTGAAAGACTGTTTTTGCTGAACTCACTATATTTCTAAATGACCATCATTGTGGCAAAAGCATACTTGCAATCGCACGTCGTGGGGGCGGTTCCCTACGTGCGGCGCACGCGCCCAACCGATCCCGTGCGGCGCACGACGTGTGCGGGGAACGACCCGTCACCCCCCTCCAAAAAAAAAAAGGCCGGGGTCAAAACGATGCGTTTGAGGCCCCCCGCCAAAATTATAAGCGAGATGAAAAACCAATTTACAGGAGTGCTGCCTCACCTTGCTCCTCCTCCCTTTCCTCATCCTCCATGCCTCCTCCTCCCTTCTCCTTTTCGTCTCCTCCTCCTCCTCCTCCTCCTGTTCATCCTCCTCCTGCCCTTCCTCATCCTCCTTGTTTCCTCCTCCTCCTCGTACTTTCTCATCTGCCATGCCTCCTCGTGTCCTCCCCTTCCTCGCCGTCCATGTCTCCTCCTCCCGCTCATCCTCCTCCTCCTGCCCTTCCTCTTTTCCCTCCGTCCATCTCTTCTCCTCCCCCATCTCGACGACTCCGTCGTCCTCCTCGTCCACATCCTCCTTCTCCTCTCCATATCCCCCTCTCCTCGCCATATCCCCATCTTCCTGTCATACGGCCCCCCATTCCCCCTCCTTAAAAAAGATAAAATAGTAAAAAGAAAAATAAAAAACCTGCACGATTCCGCACAGGCAACCCCCGCACGGAACTCCGCACGAATGTGCGGCTCGTGCGGTTGCAAGTATGGGCAAAAGGGATTCCCGGCCATGAGCATGGAACTGGATAGGATTTAGAGTTTAAACTGTACCCTTGTGGCTATTTGTTTTTGATCAGCAGTACTGTCAGCACTACATCACAAACAAAGCAAAGCATGGTCTAAATGTTGCATGCGTGCCGTTTTCCAGGCGTCCGCCGTTCTCTCTTCAAAAGATGTCTCAATCACGCTCACAATGTAGTAAAAGGCCTGCTGTCTAAGGGTGTTTGGCAGTTGGAACTTTGCTGTCAGTGTTGCTGGGTTCTTAGCAGTCGGAAGTCCAGTGGGGGAGGGGTAATTTGCAAGTAGATGGAGTATACCACACCTTCAACTAGATTGCTGTTAGAGGAGTACAAGGACTTTGAGGAGGCTGTTGACAGACTTGGAATAGGAAGTGCTCGCCAAGTCTGCCGTCCACCCCGCTTGCCAACTTCATACTTGGTAGGTGCTCTCAGCTTAGGGCGATTTGCCCGCCTGCAAATTACCAGGGTCCCGAAGCTCTTTTGGGGAGTGGTATGGTGAGGAGAAGATTTGGTGAGCTTCACCCGGTGGTGAGAACTCACCACCGACTTTCGGATTTGATGAGTGGTGCTGTGAGGCCCTATGTCCACTGCTGAGGTCTGACACATTGCCTGGCACCTCTTGAAGCTTCCGCCTCTCCTTTCCTTCTGTCGTGCTTTTTTTCTTTCTTTCTTTCTTGAATTTTCTTCTCTCTTTTTGCCCTTCTAATTTCAACACTCAAGAGTCAGGACTTATTTTCCCCCTTCTGGAGCAGATTCCCTTACAGTTCCTCACCCGAGGATTTGTCTGATAGCCAGGCCAGAGTGGAGTGGGGGCAGTTTGCTGACTCAGCACTTGCTGACCGTTGGCCTCTGATCTGGACCACTATTTCGGGGTAGTGCTGAGTGACTCTAGAAGGTCAGGAGGTACACATTCATTGCCATAGCCTTCCTCATGGGTGGTAGATCTCATTGGGTAACTGGGTTGGTGCAGTCCTATAGAGAGTAGCTGCTTGGTAAGCTCTGAGCCTAGATAACACGCAAGGACAGTCTGGTTGGCCCATCTGCATGGATCTGGATAACCTCAGGCAGTCCAGACTGTCTGGATCATAACCTAGGCATATGCTGTGCTGCTCTACGCAGGTACATCAATACTGGGTGCACCGGTGGTCGTGCACACGTATAAACCTTTTCTGGAAGGAACCAGGAACAGAAATCCGGAGAGTTATCATTTTCCAATTACTGAGCACCGGATAACAAAGCAAATGAATGAGAGTATTGAACGTCCCCCAACGCATGTGATCCAAGATTGATGTGAAGTGCAGGATGAGCCAAGTGAAACGGTTTCACGCTGTTTCAGTCTCCTGAATCCCGATCCCAGAGTCCCATTTGGTCCCAGTATCATGGGTGCCCATTGCTCCCAGTCCCAAGGGTCCCTGTAGGTCCTAGTCCCTTGGATCGTACAGGTCTGTAGGAGTCCGGTAGGGTGCACTAGCCAAAAAGTAGTAGGCGATAGAAGTTAGGCCGCTGCTCGACAGGAAAAGTTCAAAGTCCCAAAGTCCAACTTTACAGCAGCATCCTGGGAAAGTCCGGTGATTCCGGAACTAGCAATTGCAGCCAACAGACTGTGGGAATCGTCACCGATCCTAGACTGGCAAAGAAGACCCAGCGCTGCCACAGTACCGTTTCAGTTATATGTCAATCCGTATGATGTGGAAGCTCTGCTGTGGCGCTTGTGTGAGCCAGCGACTTGGACAGTCGAGGCGATTGAGGAAGAAGGACGGCGATCAGCACCTTAGCCAGGGTTGTCAGGAAGGAGGACGGTGGCCACAGCTGTAGATTTAAGAGAGAGAGTGAGAGTGAAGGGCGTATGTGTGTGTGTGTGTGTGAGAGAGAGAGAGAGAGAGAGAGAGAGAGAGAGAGAGAGAGAGAGAGAGAGAGAGAGAGAGAGAGAG